CTCTTCCTTCTCTCACCTTCTGTTTCCACGCCCCCTCTCTCAAAAACTCTTATCTTTCTCAGTATTATCATTCGTCCTGTCATAATATCGAGGGACCTCTCCCTTTCCATCCCATCCCAAAAAGATTCCCAAAACAATCCCCTCACAGAAAAAAATAATACAATGAAAAAATGAAAAAGTGAAAAAAAAAAAGCAACAACACTCAAAACAAAAAGTACCTCCCCATTTAACCCTGTCTCTGTTTCTCTCTCCCAGCTTGCTTGCCCTCTTCCCCTTTCATTTTCTTTCCTTCTCTTTCTTTTTTTACTTACTACCTTTCTTCCTCTATATCTTTCCCTCTCTCCCTACTCCTCTTTTCCCTGTCTGATTACTCTCAAGAAACACATTTAATCTCCGGTTTCCATATGACCTATTTGTTTTGTAAGTGCCGTAAAACTCTAACTAAAACTAAAACTAAACTGTACACAGTACCTCCCTGGGCGAGTGTACGGCTCTGGCAACTGGTCCAGCAATCTTCCTGTAGAGTTCTCGAACTCCCAACCACTCAGACTAGGGTCGGAATGCTCGCTACTACACCCTTGTGTCTACTACACCTCTCCAGAGCTCTTGATCACGTGAGTACTCAGGATAGTCGAGGCTGTCGCTGTTGCTGTTGATGCTGTTGTTGTTACTGTTGTTAATGTTGTATTTGTTGTTCCTTTTTTGTTGTTGAAGATAATGTTGCTGCCGTTGTTAATGTTGTAACCGTTGCATTTGTGCTTAATGTTAGTGTTGTTGTTGCTGTTGTCTTTGTTGTTGTTGTTGTTATTAGTGTTGTTGTTGCAGCTGTTGTTGTTGTTGTTGTTGTTGTTGTTGTTGTTGTTGTTATTTTTGCTGTCATTTACTGGGTCTACTCGCATCTCAAATGACCTAAATCGTGCTATGGAAACGTAACAAGTACAAAGGTATACAAAAGTTTCCCAGACTCTCTTTGTATAATGTTATTGGTTCTTTTACCCCTCCACCGACACACTCTTAGATTTCATAGGAGGCGGAGGAATACAACGTTCCGGCAAAAAGACCGAGATACTCAATGCCAATTTCTCCCATATGATAATCGAACCGGTCATCTGCATGCGACGGCGAATCACCTAACAACTACACAAAAGACACCAGCGATTACTGTCTGAATACATCCTTATATAGTGTGTGGTTGGCGTGTGTGCTTGTGTGATTTGCTACTTCTATCTCATCAAACCTCTATCGTCCTTATCCCCCCTCTTTCTTTTATTTGAATGTTACTCTTTAGTAACACCTATAATCTTTGGGGCTTTTAATATGACCTGTTTGTGTTGCAAGAGCCGTAAAACTTTTACCTAAACCTACCATCCTCAGATCGATCAACGTTCCTGTGCTGCTTCTGGGGGAGCCGGGAAAGTGGGTGCCTATGTCTTCTCGCAGGTTCCCGAGCTTGCAGCTGGCCCATGAGGATGTCTACGTGAGGGTCAACGTGGGGTCAAACGAGACGGTGACCTTCCAGTACATGTATGACGACATGACCCAGGTCCAGACGGTCACGTGTGACAACAGCGGCCGGCCCAAGCCCACCTCAGGGGTGATCAGCGTCCGCTATGGCAAATGTCAACTTGGTTAAGGTCGCAGAAGTAAACTTGCGCCCCACTTTGCCTAATGTTGTGCTGCCTCCCTCGGTCCAGATCGTAATAGTAAAGTTGAACCACCCCTCCCGGGTTAAAAATCTGATTGTTATTGTAACTAATTCAAAATTGCATGGAAATATAAAACCTGAAACAATGCTGGGTATGTGTGCAAATAGTTTCAGAAATGCTAAATACTTAATGTAATAAAACGACTATAACAGTATTCAAATTGTGCAGTCTCTGAGTTTTTCTAGCCTTCTTATCTAAGTTTATACATGTATTCAAACTATTTGTGGAATCACAATTAATTGTGATAGTGTTGTC